CAGTATCAGATGACCAGGAATGATAGACAGACAACCCGGAATGATGCCATAAATCAATTCACAAGATCAAGATCTCCAGTAAGGCAAAGGAACAACAACCAGTATCAAAGGTACCAAGCACCGTATAACAGGAGGAAGTAAAGAATATATTACTATGATTAATCTCAATTTGTATTGTTAGTGTTTTCTCTTCTTTTTTTTTTAATAATCTGTGGATTATGTATAAACTTTGTTGTTAAAAATAAATCTGTACATTTGGGTAAATTGTTTATAGATGTGGGTTAGAGGTGGATTTTTTTTTGAAAAACAATGTCAGTATGACTGTACATATTTAAATATGTGTACCTGGATATAACATATTTATAAGCATCATTGATATTGACTTGATGTATGTATATAATAGAAAGTTTTTGTGAGTGAATTGAGTTGTGGTTAGTATACATCTTAAAATGCTGATAATTTGTTATTAATGTTGTTTTGTTATTAACATTCATAATCTCATCAACTGTACATATTTTTTTATTTGCATACTTGCAATGGTACTGTCATAGTATTTGATTATTATTCATGAGGACATGAATGTTTTTAACGGAGGGGTAATGTAAAGTTTGATCATTTCAAGTTTCCATATTTTATTTGTATTTAAAATACAAATCTTGTCATATTAATCTACCTCTATAAATGATTCATAATTTGAGTATTTTGATCATATGTATTGTATGTTTATTACTTAATGTTCTAAATTTGGATTCACAACTTTTCATGTCATCGTATGTAAAGTGAAAGTAGAACGAACACATGTAATATATGCATATCCTTTCATATTTAACGATGTCCTTGTTGAAATAATTGCATAAATGCTGTAACTAGAGCATGATCTACTAAATGTTTTAAGAAAATTACGTTTTTTACTGGTATTTTACCTGTATTGTGCAAACACGTGTTGTAAGCTGCAGACAGTCTTAGTTTTCTATTTACATTTCGGCGCAATGCATTATGGGTGAATTTTCGTTTACTTCTTTGATCCGCGCACCCCAGATATTTATGCGCTGACAGATTTTTCTATTAATTAGAAAAATGAGCTTTAAGGTAATTAATTATGTTGCATAATATATTAATGAATTAGAGTTATATTTTATTCGTATTTTAAACTTGTTAAAGTAATTTTTTTATAGATGGGAACTATTTTCTGTTGTATTTTTCTATCGGATTCCGTTGCTTTCCAACGGATTCCGTGTTGTTTTGGAACGGATACCGTTCCCCGAGGGTATATAAGTGAGCACCCGTTGTACAACGGGGACTCCAGATTTTTGGGCTTTTAGGATAAGATGTAGGTGAAATTTTAAGAACTTTTGGGGAATTTTTCTTTATTTCTATTAGTAACTCAGTAATTTGAAGAAATTTAGCTAGGCCTATTTATTTATTAGAGCCGTTTCACAATATTAATTAATATGTCTTAGGGAAATTTAATATTTTTGGGAATTTGGGGTTAAGACGACTGCAGCCATTATTTTTTTTTTTATTGTATTTTTCTTGATTGAATTTTTATCATTGATAAAATTTTATTTAATTTGTTAATTGAGATTAAGCCAGAATAAACCATCATCTCAAGCTATTTAAATCTTATTTTAATTATTTACTGGAGTCCATCATTTAATTTAAAAATAAATTGGTTTAAAGTTAGTAAATTTCTGGGTGTTCAAAGTACCGTTAATCAGTTAATACACCCCAGTGATTGAGTGCCATCCCGTTACATAGACCTAAGGAAAGGTATACCTTAACTATGTTTATATGTGTTTTTGCTTATAAAGTCAGCTACTTTGTTTATATTCTTTTTCTATATCAATGTAAGGTCAAGGGTCATTGGAATTGTTGCATCATTACCCTGGCGTGTTCTATCTTTATAGAGCATGGTTGTTAGAGCACAGTTAGTCATGGTGTATCAAAAATAAAAACACAGTGGACATCAAAGGAAAAACGCCGCAGCAATGATACAAGTATCTTTGTAAGGATTTTTATGAAGTTTAGGAATCCAGTAATGGATTGGTAATTCAAATTCATTTTGATTGGGAATATTAAAATTATCTAAAACGAACATGCGATTTTGAAGAATTTCCTCCTTAGAAAGGGAGGTATGGGTGTAAGTTGGACTTCCACCCGTAGAACTAAATCTTAGTTCCTCTAAAATACAATTCAAATAATGAGCCTTACAAACAAAGACTATGTTGTTACCAGCTCTGTCAGCTGGGACCAGTACATACTGATCGTGTAATCTATCTAATTCCTTTTTTACTTCTGAATTATTAAAGACAAAAGGATAAATACTTTTCATACAGCCCCTCAATTGCTTAATGCGCTATTTTAACATCCATCTGATGATCTTAATCCATTCTGTCTAAGTGTCAAGGTCTTCTTTTTTGTGTTTAGTCCATCGCCTGGCGTATTCTTCCACAGAATTCATAATATTTATAAAATTATGACGCCAGTTGAAAGAACAGTGTTCCCTAAATTTTGGCCCTCTAATATTAAGGGATTTAAGGTCCTCATTATTAACTATGTTTACATCGCCAGTAATGACGTGTCCAGCAGGACTATAGTTGTAGGGTGAAGAACAACATTAACACGTAGGAGGATTATTTAGATGTTTGATATCTAAGCATTGTAGGGATTTTTTGTAATCAAAAAGTTTGGAAGCAATAGTCGATGTATATTTATAAAAAAAAAAAAAATACAAGGTGTGGACTTCAACTTGAAATATGGTGGAATACAAGTCTGGACCCTTTTGTGATTAAGAATATTACTAATATTAATTGCGTCCATTCCGTTTATTGCAAATTGAAATTTAAGGAACAAACGGGTTATTTGAGCAGTATTATCTTCCGTAAAAAAATTGGCGGTTTAAAAAGCCTATGATTTGCAATATCCATAATCACAAATCCAAGCCTGTATTCTGGTGTCGAAGAATCCAAATATGGACTTTCCTTGACCTTTTCAAATACACCATATAGACCTTTCAAAGGGACAGAGTAAAGTTTGGTACGAATGTGATGGGGACCTAACTGTTTATTTACATAAGGTGAAGTGAATCAAAAGAAACATCGTGTATACTGGACTTTTGCGGGAAGCACTGACTTTTACAGTCGAAGGCTTACTTTGACATTTAAATCTGCCTTATGTACGCAGGTACGGAATTGATAATAGACAAGAAAACCTTAATAGTAGTTATAGGTATGGTGTTAGGAGCACTAACATGATTTCAAGTATGCAATCAACGCAAGAGATGACGGGAGGCAGAATTACATAAATTAAATAAGGTTATTCGTAAGGGGTAGTATCTCCTTTCAATATCATTTCTGAAGGAATCAAATAAGGAAATAAGGAAGAAAACACATTTTAGGAAAACTAAGCAAGAGTAGGTCAATGTGAGAGGGGAAGGGGTTGAGACTAGGGTTGTTGCCGTTACCTTCCTAGACATCGTAATATAGGCTTTGAAATGGCCCATTACTATTGTTTAATTAACTGTTAAGTTTAATATTTATAGCGCAAAAGAGATTCCGTATATTGTCCTAGTATAAAGTAAGTCGTTGATTGTAAAAGTCAGCGCTTCTCGCGCCAATAGTCCAATAGATTTATTGTATGACCGATGTCCATGACTACGCTTACGTCTCTGAGTATGGTTAAAAAGGCCCATCACATTCACATTGGTACACTGTGGACTTGAAAGATTCCCAATACTATTGACATTGTGATTGCTTCCATATGGAAAGGCTGTGCCTAGTTTCCTAATCCAGTATTCTTGTCGTTGTTTACGGAAAGGTGTACTCAGTGATGGACTATTAGTATTGTAGTGTTCTCTTGTACCAACGACACAGGTTCAATTCAATGTCTTTATTAACATGGACACATTCTGGCATTGTATGACAAAGTCCTTGTCTGTGATATAAAATGACAAAGTCCCTGTTTCTGAGATAGATTGACTACAAATGAAATGTAAATATAATAAATACTTGTACTCAATACAGAATGTACATATAATGTAACTTTTTATCAATATAAATCATGACACAAAAAGTGCTCCTTACATTAAATTTTGTAGACAATGGTTATATGACAAATTCCTATTCAAATTCAATGTAACAAGTAAATACATATAGCAGACAGTATGTAATAAATAATTAATATATAATTACCGTGATGTATGTCTGGTACTTTCAGCTAGAACACAGCAAACTCTACTGCACTCACTGATCTGAATATGGCGCTCGTGCATTTCTCAACATTTGATAAACGTGTCATTCTGATAAAATTGGAATGCACAGAAATCGAAACTTGCAGACAAAATTGGAATTCAGAATAAAATATACAGATTGTCCTTTGCAAGTATGATGGTAAATCTTTTCTAGCATTCTAACTTTCATTGATAAAATAGAATGATCAGGTAAATTAAAGTTTTTGTAGAGAAACTGCTGGCCCCCTTTGTTTATTTGAAACTTGTGACCCGATATTCTTTTATGATGTGAACCCTTGTTTTTACCAACACCAATAAGCCCACAAAAGTTACATTAGACCTCTTCTTCAACCACGAAATATCGAAATCTAATTCCCTTGAACTAATATTTTTTTCTTAAACCAAAAAAATATGTGATTTTACAGTAAACGTAGAAGGATTTCTTATTTTTATCTACACAGATAAGTTGGAAATACCCTGTAAAAGATATTTCTCTCATACAAATCTAAAAAGCAACATAGGGCATAATATGAAAAGAAATTTAAATTCTAAAAGCCATCTAGGCCAAGTTCTTAAGAAGTTTATGAGTCTGGCTAAGTGCTAGGAAAAAGAAACTTAGAATATAAAGTTTATAAGTGTGAATTTGGAAGTTCAAAATTATTTCTTAAAAAAGTGCATTGATATTGAAAGGAGTAATTCATAACAACAGGAATAATGTGTTCTTTAAATTTCTGTTATATTTCTTTTAATAAATATTTTGTATTCATCTTAGGTGTACAGTTCACACAGAGACACCTGGAATTTCTACAACTTTTTGAGAAAGAGGAAATGGCCAACTATCTCAGACGAATTAAATCAGAGCATAGAGATTCAACAGAATCTAAACTACAAAAACGGTAAGTCAACTAACTCAGACAAATTCAGAATCCAAAGAACAAAAATGTTATTAAGATTCAACAGAATCTAAACTTCAAAGGTGAAATTGAAGTTTGTGTATAAATATAGGATCTCCCATGATTTGTAGTTGGATATGATTTTTATCCAACGAGTTGTGTGTTTTTTATCCCCGAGCCTTGGCGAGGGGATAAAAACACACAACGAGTTGGATAAAAGTCATATCCAACTACAAATCATGGGAGATTCTTTTTATCCCTTGTTTAATACTTCACAACCAATGTTTTACACTGTTTTATATAGGACTCCACTTTATTTTACTTCATCACGCTAACGCAAAAACCATTGTGACGTCACAACTGCACTTAATTGTGGATTATGAAAAATTTATCCAATGAGTCATATCCACGGGATAAAGGGGTAAACATGGGATAAAGTAAAATATCATAAAGGTATAGTTGAAAGAATTAAGTCCTTTATTTATTTCAGGGTAGAAGAGCTGTTTAAATTGGTGGAGGAGGAACTGACCGCTGACCACGGAGGCAGTTCTCTTAATCAGACGTTAAGTGCCACACAGACGGTCAAAATGGCCCGAGAGACTACACTAGAGTCTTGTCCCCTGGAACCCAGTGGTTGGCCTAGGACTGAAGCTGTCCTTGACTATGCTAAAAATTTGGAGGAGAAAGAGGAGCAGAAAACGAAAGGAGAAGCAAAGGAGGTCCGGATGATTTACTTTCACTTTCATTTTATCAAGGTCATGTTTTTCCCCTATACATAATAAGTATTTGTAATATCACTACAAGCATTTGAAGCATTCATGTGGAAAAAGTTTTATGGAATGTTACACATATATCTTAATACAAATCCAAGCTCCTTCATTTTTGTAATTTTGAAGGATGTTGTTGATGAAGATCAGGTGAAGAAAGAGAAGAAGAAGAAACATAAAAAAGATAAGAAGAAGAAAAAGCAGCAAGAGGAGGAAAAAATAATAAACTTGGATCAACAAAATAACGCCAAACCAGAAAGTGAGGCTTGGAAAGATATGGCTAGCCTTGCTTCGAATTTGTCTCCCCGACTGACCAAGTCGCCAATAAGGGGAGGTCCAGACTCTACTCCCAAGAATCTGTTTTTACAACGTCATCAGACAACACAAATTAATTTGTCTGATGATTCCTTTGACAGTGATGATGTACAACCCCAAGTTCCGGATTCGTCTAATATTCTAAGTATGCCTAGGAGAACAGGGTCTAATATACAGGCAAGTGATTCCGATTCTGACATGCCTAGAAGACTGCGGTCAAAGAAATCGCTCCTTCGGGTAGAAAGCAGTACAGAAGATGAAAGGCGTTCTAAAAAGAGGATTTTTAATCGACGACGAAGTCGGCAACTGTCCGAATCGGATTAAATATTTCGTTAAAGTCTCTGAAAACTAGGATTTGTTGTTTTTTTCACGTGATTAAAAATAGTAAAATACTAATATATGAAGTAATCAGGTTTACAACGTTGCTCAAATGGAATGAGTTTAATGATTCTTCATTAGATGTTGGAATAATATTTTGGTAGTTTTCTTTTTCGAGCATTTATTCCAAGCTTTTTTTTTTAACTTGTGGAGTAAATTTGTTTTTTGCAAATAAAACCAATTTTTTTGTGTGGAGACTAAACAGATTATAGTACTTAGAGTGTTATTTTAAAGAAACAATGAAATACCAACAGATCACAATGAATTTTAAAGTTTTATATTATAAGTATTATCTGTTCATGGCCTTTAACAAAAATTCTCCAAGCTAGTTCAATTCTTAGTTGTTTTCACTGTAAAGTTTTTATTCAATGCATTTGATGGTGTGTGTTTCAAGAGATTTTTTCCTGAGTAATTTCAAAAGAAGTGAGTGACTGTTTAATTTTTACCACTTGAAATTTCAAATACAAAATGTACATTACATATGTAACTATACAGTTGATTTGAACTTTGGTATCTTGAACATGGATATGTCAGATACATGTACCTTGGATAAGTCAGAGTTATTTGGAAGTCCCAACCTTGATCTGTTTTACCCTCAATATCTTGAACCGTATGATATGATATCTTAGTTTTTCTTGGTCCCATCGAGCTTGAGATTTTATTCTAACAATTTCTACAATATCACAAAAATCATGTTATGATCTAGCTGTTTATGAACTAGCTGATATTTTGGTGGGACCTTTGGGACTCTGTCAGATTTTATCTCAATACAGAAATCATATTTCCCATTCCTTTATTTTGTTTTTTCGGGGGAATAACGATTACAGCTCGTACCAAAATTCTGACTACATTGGCCATCTTTTTGAAAAGTGCATGTTGTAAAACTGCTTGCAATTGAACGTACGAGTGCCATAAGTTCATACAGTGACTCAAGAGAACCTTAGAGATTCAGCTCTTCTGAAATATTATCTTCAATTATTTCTGAATACAGGTTTTTATAATGAGGAAATAAGAATGAGGACCTGTGTTGATCAGAGGTTTAAATAATAATTCATTGTATCCATGACTGACTCGGACCATCTTTTTAAAAAATGCTTGCTTGCCCATTACCGACTCAGGATCACAAAAAAATGGTTGGTAGGTAGGTAGAGGGATTTTTTTTTATTTAAAATACTTGCAAATTTGAATTTAAAATAGATCTTAAGGGGATGGGGAAATTTTGGAATGAAAAAAAAAAAATAATTGTTTCCTGGAGTTTAAAAAAGTTTTGTGTCGGGTCATTTTTAATCAGTCGGTTGGGAGAGGGCAAACAAACATTTTTTAAAGATGGCCTCAGAGAATAAGTTTTTAATATCGTATCAATAATTGATAGAGGTTCATCAATAGCTTTATGTTACATCTCTGATCAAAAGTGCATCTAAATTCAGCAATCTCTGATATTCAATATACATGCATTTATTAAGATCGGTTCATACCCAACATACTGTAAAGTCACTATAAATGTTTGTGGGGGTTTAATTTTTGATGTTTTCGAGGTATTAAGAGACTGAAAAATTCATGTCCTCTTCCAAAAAAATATATAACTACAGTATCTTTTCTTCTGTAACTACGAAATCAAATCCCAACAAACTAAAAAAAAATTTCCTCAAACCACAAAAATTTTACCCCACAAAAATAAATGATTTTACTGTATTACATATTGTGCGATGCCTAATCAAGAATATAGACATACATCTATAACCTTCCTTAGTCATTCCATGATTAATCTTGAATTTTCAGCCATATATTATTTAGAATAGCTTACTATTATGATCTCTGGTTACATAGAAGTTTCCATATTGAATAGTTTACAAATAATATTTCATTATTCTTTGAACTGATCAACATTCCATCACACCATTTTCTACTTGCAACGGAATTGTGAATTTACTGGGTTTAATTTTATGTTATTTTCTTTGTTTGTTTGTTTTGTTTTGTTTTGTTTTTTTTTATATACGAGGATTTATTTCGTATGTTTTTTGTTCATTTATTTTATTTTTTTTATTTATTCTCTTAATGAGATTATAGTCAAAATTCCGTCCACATGCAACTCTTAGAAGGTTTGTGTTTTGTGTAAATGACCAGTCTTACTATATTTGTGTTTTACATATAAACCCCTGTGTTAATCTAATTGCAGCTGTTAGTTAAAAGTTACCTGTCTAATATACCTTTATCCATGTATATGCCTCTGGAATAAAGGATGGTATTTAAGGAATTGTATTTAAAAGTTGTCCAAAAGCTGAATGATATACATGTATTTTTTAATTTTTTATAACCTGTAAACCATACACATAAAATGATTACATGTACTTGTAATTTCCATCAGAAAGCAGTATAGTATTTTATAAGTTTATAGATATAAGGAAATTCAAAAATCTAGAGATTTGGTCAATTATTGTGAAAATTTTAGATTAATTTCATGATGTCATTGTCTAACTAAACAATGTAGAGGCTTAAACAGTTAACTTATGGTTTTATAAAGGATTTATTATGTAAAAAAAAAAAAATACATTTTTTTTCTTTTTCCCCCCATTTTTAGCTTTTATTTTCGTAACCAATACATGTATTTTATTTTAACCAAATTGTGTGTAGAAACTTATAATCATTTTTTAGACGTTGCCTTGCTATAACAAACTAATAATGTAATTTAAACCATGTATTTTATAACAACAGGAGCCATTGTTTCTATGGTGATATTAAATCAATGTTCCTGTCTGCTTGTTGGATTATGTCATGGCGTAATTTTAAATTAGTTGATGATTAAATCTGATACTCTGTAACTGAATCTTGTTTTCTTTTTTTTTTCTTCAGAATTTGAGGAAATGGTTCTCTATTAGCCCTCTGCTAATTGTTCATAATATAAAACTTGTCTTAAATTGTTCATTGTCATATTCTTGGATGACAGGAATTTAATGGAGTGGACAAGAATTCCGATTCAAATAAAAATCAAACGAAGACCAAATATATCAGTAATTGCAAGACAATCTCGAAATTTCAGTAATGAAACTCAATGCATTGATTGTCATATGAGTTCTTATTATGACAAGTGATAATTTTTTACAATCACAGCTCGGTAATGACTGGACAGTAACATTAATTTATGACTGGACATTAACATTAATTTATGACTAATGAAGCTGGCCACTAACGAAGCTTTAATATAAACTTACATTTCCTTCTACGATAGTTGCGAATGTATAATGACAGAAAATCATATATATATATAAAAAATCAATTGAAAAATAGTAATTCATGTGCTCACCATTAGATGAAAATATTGATGTGACCAAATTACTACCTTCAATCTTGGTCTGGTCAGACATTGATGTGACCAAATTACTACCTTCAATCTTGGTCTGGTCAGACATTGATGTGACCAAATTACTACCTTCAATCTTGGTCTGGTCAGACATTGATGTGATTCATCATATTAAGGTCTTTTATGGTAATGTGAAAAAGGATGTAGGTCAAACCGAAATATCTAACTTTTATGGGCAGCTTTTTTTTTTAACGATTAGGATATGTAAAGTACAGGAAGTTATCGTTGTCATGTGCTATTGTATTTATCTTGAGACACTATTGATATAACATTCTACTGTATTTATCTACAGACACTATAGACATAACATTCTACTGTATTTATCTACAGAGACTATAGACATAACATTCTACTGTATTTATCTACAGAAATTATAAACATAACATTCTACTGTATTTATCTACAGAGACTACAGACATAATATTCTACTGTATTTATAGAGACTATAGACATAACATTCTACTGTATTTATCTAAAGACACTAGAGACATAAAATTCTACTGTATTTATCTACAGAGACTATAGACATAACCTTCTGTATTTATTTACAGAGACTATAGACTTTCTACTGTATTTGTATATACATCTTATAGTATATTGCGTTTAAATTGCTAAATTTTGACTTTCTCCGTGATCCAATTTTTAGCTCACCTGAGCTGAAAGCTCAGGTAAGCTTTTCTGGTCACATTTTTCTGTATAGTCCGACTGTCCGGCTGTCTAGCTGTCTTTCCGTCCGTCCGTCTGTTTACTTGTCACATTTTCGACTTCTTCACAAGAACGACTGGTCCAATTTTAACCAAACTTGCCACAAAGCATCCTTGGGTGTAGGGGATTCAATTTGTTCAAAGAAAGGGCCATACCCTTATTCAGGGAGAGATAATTCAGAAATAGTGGAAATTTGGTGGCATGTTTTTAAAATCTTTCTCTAAAGAACCACTGGGCCAAAAAAGTTGAAACTTATAGTTTATTTTCTTTACATAGTGAAGATTGAAATTTATTCAAATGATGACTCCCGGGGGTAGGGTGGGGCACAATCTGGGACCAAAGTTTTACATAGGAATATTTAGGGAAAATCTTTAAAAAGAGCAAAGCCATGTTAAGTCAAATTGATATGGAAGCATCCGCAGAGAATATAGATTCATGTTTGTTCAAATCATGGCCCCTGGGGGTATGTTGGGGCCACAATGGGGGATTAAACATTTACATAGGAATATAAAGGAAAATAAACTCGAAAAATCTTCTTCTCAAGAACAGCAAAGCCATGTTTAGTCATATTGATATGGAAGCATCATCAGGTAGTGTAAATTCAAGTTTGTTCAAATCATGTCCCGGGGGGGGGGGGGATTAAGGGGGCCACAATGGGGGATCAAAGTTTTACACACGAATATGTAAAAAAAAAAAATTGTGAATACATGTATATCTATAATTTTTTTTACTATTTGTTTATTTGTTGGTTTGTTTGCTTTCGTTTTCGTTTTGTTTTGTTTTTTTTTTTCTTTTCTTCATTGCGTAGATTAACACTTAGGTCTAGTAGAATTTTACGGATGATATTAATCAAATGGCATCGAAAACAGGACTGCAAATGACA